CGTGGGCAAAGCCAGTCAGAAGCTTCTAATTAGAGAACTTGGATTTTAGTAATGATTAGTTTAATATTTCATTATTACTTTTAGCTTGTTACTGTTTCAGAGCTGAAAACCGTGGAATACTGCAGTCTGTCACTGCTTAATTATTCAAAATCAACTTAAAGCAAATAATTATTAAAGTGTGTCTTTGTTGTTTCAGAAAGGGAATTGTAAGGCTGAATACAACTGTGATGCACATCTGTTTGACGAAGAAAGCATCACTTTTTCATAGTCGCTTTGCAAAATTAGCTGGCTTCAGAAGTAAGTATCTTTATTATATGTCTGTAAGAAAATATCAAGTAGTTCCATAGTAATTTTATGGTTTGGGTTTTTGTTGGTTTTTTTTTACTGATTAACTGTAAATAAATATATATGCTATATAAACATAGATTATAGCACTGTAGTAAAACTTACATCTTTTATTTAAGGTAAGAAAAATATGACAGAAAAAGCAAGTGCAGATGACTTTCAAGTTCAGGAGTTTCTGAAGAAGAAGAAGAAGAAGAGAAAACACAAGGAATACAGTAAGAAACATGAAAATGATGAAGGAGAAAGTGTGCAAAATGCAGAGCTTAGCCATGCTTCTCCACTGCTGTTTGAAGATCAAGCAGCACAGAGTGGTGAAATCTGTAAAAAGAAGAAAAAAAAAAAAAAAAAACACAAGAGGGAGAAGCAACAGTCTTCATTAGATAATTCTTGTGTAGAACTGGAATATGAAATTAGTAATGAAACTGGAATGGATTATGAAATTAGTAATGAAACGGGAATGGATTATGAAATTAGTAATGAAACGGGAATGGATTATGAAATTAGTAATGAAACTGGAATGGATGCTTCCCAAAAGAAAAAGAAAAAAAAGAAGCGGAAGTATAACCATGATACAGATGAGAAAAGTGATGTGACTTGTGCCGCAATAAATCAGCATAGCACTGATAGTTGTCAGGAGGTTGATGCTGATTACGTTCATTTAAAACAGTCTGTTAAGAAGAAAAGAAAAGAGAAATTGCCTGAACAGGATGAGGTACATGAGCTGCCTACCTCAGAAACATGCGATAAAAATGACAAGAAGAGATCAAAAAAGAAAAAGAAGAAAAGAAGCAGAAGTACCCAAGATATGCAGGAAGACACAGACGTAACTGTTGGCCAGTCACTGTTGTCGTCTCCAGAGCAAAACAGGCCAGAGGAAGACACAGTCTTGCCATTACCTACAGAAGAGGGTGGTGCAGCAACGCCCCAGCAATGGCATGAAGATGGTAACTGCGATGCTTCTCCTGCCAGGAATGAAGACTCTACAGATGTATCTGCAAATTTTTCTAAGCCAACTAAAGCAGCTCGTCGGTCTTCTCGAAAAACTGCAGTGCGTGCTAGAAAGGCAATAAAAAGCAGTGTTTTTGTCATGGAAGAAAGCTCTTCTGAATCTGATGTAATGTAAGTTTAGGTTTTGTTTGTAGTTTTGTTTTTTATTTCCAGCCCCTCACCCTCCCAAGTTTCTATCACATTATTTGGGTCCCAGAATTTTCTTCAGTCTGTTTTCCTATGTATTTTTAAAAACAAGTTCAAAAACCTTTATAGTATGTTGAGATGTTATTGAGACCTACTTTAAGAGCTTAGTTATCTTGTGATGATACAGTGAAAATTTGTAAGAATATACTACCATTGCCTTCAACATAGAATATTTTCTCCTATTTAAAGATTGTAGGTATAGAAATAATTTATGTGCAAGAAATTCATATTTAGTAAAAAAAAAAAAGGGAGGGGAAAGGGATTTAATTTGTTAAATTTGGTATTTATAGTGAACATACACATTTTTACCAAGCAACTAGTAAGGTCTGTGCAAACAAATGCTCGTATAAGTAGGTCTTGATGCTTTTACAGCATCTAGAACCCACAATAAGAGCACTAGTAAGAGACAGATGGAAAAGTTCTGTGTTGCCAGTGGTAGCAAGAGACGTTATTTCTTCTGTATGTCCATGTGTGAGAGTGTTGTGGGAAATGTGTGGATTTTAAAAACTTAAGCAAGCTCTTTGAATACTGTAAGTATAGAAATTTGATAATAGATTACATCTATGTTAAAAGGCTGGAAATACAAGTGGGTAGATGTGTGAAGTATTCCTTGTTCTGTAATGAATGTGTTCATTTTTTTAATGGTAGAGATACTAACAAAATCTGTTTTGAAGCCTGAGTGGTGTATTTAATTTTATGCCTTTTTTTTTAATATCAGGACACCAGAACCCTCGGCATCAAATAGGAAGGAGAACCAGAATAGTTCCTCTACTGAAATAGTAGCCTCTGATGAGCTTACTCTGGATGATGAAGAGTGCCTGGACTCTACCATGTCTTCAGTCGTGGATTTGGATACTGCAAAACAAGAATTGGAAGAGTTTATTCCTCATGTGAGGAATATATCAGACAGTTCAATCAGGAAGATGGCTGGAAGAGACCTAGTGAGGTTTAAACAATTTAAAAAACAAGGTGAGCCTTCCAAAATATCGTTGCAGTGAGGAAGGACTGTGCAGCTGTGCTAATGTTTTGACAGAGGGAAAAATAGTTTTTGTATCATGTCTGTCACATCCATGGAGTCTGTCTCACATCATTCCAATGGACATATTTTCTGTTTCTCTGCTTCATAGCATCTACTTACTCATTGTTAAATTCCAGTCCAAAGTGTATGTGTAAATTACCAGCTCCCAACTCTTGTTTTGTCTCTTTTCAGTTTTCTTTTTTCACCATGTGAATTTGTTGATCTTTCATTACACATTTGCTAAACTTGAAATGTAATGTACAAGAGATGGTACTTGAAGTTTGCTATCACTTTTTTTTTTTTTTAATTTTTTAAAATAAAACTTGCTGTCTATTTTAGGTATTGCTGTCAAGTTTGGCAGATTTTCCCAGAAGGAAAATGATCAAATCCGGAAAAATATTGAAGAGTTCTTATCGATTACTGGAATAGACAGTGCTGAAAAACTCCTGTTCACCTCAAGGTTTCCAGAAGATAAAGAAACTATTAGCCGCCTAAAAGTAGAACATCTGTTTTGTGAAAAACTTTGTAAGTATTTAAGTTCCTTCTCAAATAGCTGAATGTTACATTCCACAACCTGGTGATATCACAATGTATTTTCTAAAATAATTTTTTATTGAAAAGCGCTAATGTTGATAAATTTGGCAAAAAAAGGAGCATGCTGCTGAGATGATGTAGTTAATAGTCTTTACGGCATACTGTTCTTATTATCTTTTATCGGGTATGAAGAGTTTAGATATTAAAATATCATCATGACCAACACCACTTATAGACTTTCAAACTTGCATTTGGGTTTTATGGCTGCAGGTGCATTATTTGCTAGGCTATAATTAAGCATAGTGACTTCTTAATGGGAGGTGTGATTAAGTCCTGTATAAAATTGTCATCCGTTCTTAGAGCACATAAGTATGTGTCAGGTTCAGGACTTGAGTGAGAGCCCATAAATAGGTGGCAGGTTTAGGACTGAGTGATGGCAGAAACTGCAAGAAATTAGGTCGTTAGCCAAAGTAGTTAGTTTTCCAAGACTTGAGGAAAACAAAATTGTTACAGCTAAGATTCTGTGTGCAGGAAGAGCATCGCTTTTCTTCCACTTTACTCATTTTGTTGGGCTTTTCTTGGCTAGAAAACATCCGTGTTTCATATGGCAAATGTACTCATTTTGTAACATCTCTGATGCATCTACTCAGTGCACTTTCTCGGTGTCTTTTCCTTCTGTGTTTGTTCTGTATCGTTAGCATAGGCAAGACAGAGTAAATGACAACCTGTAATGGATTTGGATACTAGTATTTATTTAAGGATCAATGAGGCTACAGTTTTGTTCCTCCTTGATTATTTCACACACTCAGCCATTCCCCCTGCAGTGTCACATTGGCCTGATATTGACTTCCCTTCCAATCTGGGAGATTGCTCCTGGTCTGGGAAAATTGGGCAGAAAGTCATGTCAGTGTTACGCGGGTTGCTTGCAGTCACCTCTCCTGGGCGTTGCTGACCAAGATTGTTAATGTGTCCTAGGTATTGGTCTCTGTGGATCTTTCCCCACTTCAAGGATCTTTCCTTCAGACAAGGCCTTCACTGTTTTTGCTGGATGCCCCCAGTCCCCACTTTTCCATTGAACTAGTCCATATGCAGAAGCACAGTATCTCTTCAGCCTCCTGATTGGTGGCTGTCTCATGTCTCTCTGTTAATAGGAATATTCAGTGTGTTACTACATTTGACCCAGATGTTATCAAAATTTGCATCCAGTCCATACAATTTGTAGCTAGTAACAGGTTTGTGCTTGAGAGTTCAAAAGTTCCATTTTCAATATTCACCCACACGTACGCACACATGTACACAATTATTTACCAGCTGTCAGCATTCATAATCTTAGCACGGTCATAAAAATTACATCTTTAAAACTCCTGACGTGATTCTCTTCAGACTACTTCCTGTGCAGTTACTGAAGTTGTTGTAGAGTACGTTCTCCTGAATGGAGAGAATGTATTGCTGACAGCGTGGTTATGAAAAGGTATATTGATGGGCTTTGTTTTTGTTTTGCTCTGGCTTTTTTTAAAGTGGCCTCACTGGTGTGAGAAATGTTTCTTAAAAATGAACCATTTACCTTCTAGCTGAAGGCATACCACGGCCCTGGAGGCTGATATATTATCGAGCAAGGAAGATGTTTGACCCAAACAATTATAAAGGGAGGTGAGTAATTTGAAAGAGTTTCTGAATGCTAATATGAGCCTCTAATGCTTATTTGTACATTAAAAATGGATATAAATGAAGATCATCTCTCCCGTTTGTGCCAGTTACTGTGACTTAATTGACAATTCATTTTTCTGACTAGTCATTATCAATTCCTCTGTTCTAAAATGTGACTTGAAATGGTAGTGGTGAATAACATTGAAATGCTGGTAAAGATTACAGCTCTCTTAAGATATTAGAATGGTTTGAATTTACAGCTGAAGATGTGCCTATTTCCTCAATTAGGTATACTAAGGAAGAGAAAGAGAAATTAAAAAAGTATCATGCTCTGCATGGCAATGATTGGAAGAAGATTTCTGAGATGATGTCCCGTTCTAACCTCTCAGTTGCTATGAAATACTCTGAAATCAAGTCAGGTACATGGAACAAATGCAACTCTTTATTAAATAGAACTGTCATCTAAACAGATGCTTTCAGGGGGAGGACAGGAGGAATTTGTCAACCAGGTTTTAAAAGACAGAAACTAGGGATCAGTGCTATTTTTTAGTGATTAGGCTGAACTCTTCACTCAAGTCTGGTACGCAGAAGGGTTTCTGGGAAGTGTGTTTGGTCCTGTAAATAAGAATAATGCAAAGTGAAGCATTTGCTGTTTTGCCTCTTTCGGTAATAATTTATGATACATTATGCCTTAACCTTATATTTCAATTTTAGCTATTAATTATGGTCCTTGGTCAAAGGAAGAGACCCAGAAGCTAATGCGTGCAGTGGAGGAGGTGATTAGGAAAAGAATGGAAATGGAAGATGCAGATTCTCTTTCATCATCATCAAAGTCACGTAGAGATCTTTCAATTGACCGTGAGAAACTGTACCAGAAATTACCATGGACTGAGATTGAAGCTAAAGTGGGAACTCGATATTGGAGACAATGTAAACAGAAATGGTAAGGTTTTGCCTTTACTATATTGAGATATACTAAATTGAGCTAGTAAAATGTGTTCTGGGGTGTATTTAACTCCATTCCACAAAAGTAACAGGATGATGACTGTTTGGTGAGAGAGGTAATAAATAGGTTGTAGACTACGGAAGAGGTGTTGCAAATGTGTCTGAGACAAACAACTCCTTGCTAGCTGTGGTGAGTTTTCTTCTTGCTGTGATAGTGAAGCCTGATTTCTGCTTCTCAAGACACTTTCTTTTGATGCTTGGAATTTCTTGAAATGATAGAAACCTTTTTTGTGTGTTTTCAAAGGACTACAATTTTAACAAACAAGATGACCAAAGGGCAGCAGTTGTATAGGGGAACGAAAGGATTACAGGCCAAGATCAACCTCATTAAAAGGTATAGTTCAGAGTTACTGGAATTTTTTTTTTATCTCTTGCTGTTCCGAGCTGCGTTCATAAAAGTTTGCAGGGTGAGAACAGTATGCCTGCAGTTTCATACCGGTTTCACAACCACTCTTTCTTTGGATGAAATGTCCTGTGACTTCTGACTGGGGGAGCCATGAGAATAATTGAATTATTTAATTATTTCTTGAATTCTGCCTACAGACTGCTTCTGTATTATATTCACAGGTTGCATGAAATGAAAGTGGAGGATGCTAATGAAGTAAACTGGGAAGAACTCAGTAATACTATTGGGTAAACCTTTTTTCCTCTTTTTTATGGATACAAAAGGTAGTTGAAGCAGATAGTCTAAAAATTCCAAAAAGAAATCAAAGTTCTTAGACCTCTGCAACTATAGAAAATGTCATTTAGTTTGGTAACATACAGGTGTATATACTTGCTTAGTACTGAGCAATAAACCATGCCTATAGGCTGTGAAACTTATTTTTAACCACTTCAGGCAATACACCTTTACTGTATTCATAGCGCATTCTGTGTACTGGAACTGTGTTATGCAGTCCGTGCTAAGTTTTTGATAAAAGACTTTTCTAGGTGTTAATCAACACATAGGAAAAAGGGATAATTAGAGTAATGTGTAATACAGTGTAACACAAAGCAAAGTGGCAAATACGAAACTACCGGTACTGTGAATGCTATGCTTTCTCTATGGTGCTTTTTTTTTTTTCTTTTTCCACATACTTCCGTTTTCATTTACTGTTTTGTTTCACTAAACATATAATACATATGTACGATGGCATGGTTTAAGTTCTTACCTTCAAGGGGAACTGTTATCTTGAAAAACTGTTTTAATTAGGATTTGAAATCTATCCTTTCTACCTAAAGCTAAGATATTGTTTGACTGGTGTGAATGGATAACACGGTAACAACTAAGCTTTGTAATGGTTCCATGCACCACTAATTCTTTGAAATCTTCTCTTTTCAGAGATGTACCTAAAGCCTATGTTCAAGCAAAATTTTATAAGCTAAAAGTCTCCTGTGTCCCTTTTTGGCAAAAAAAGACTTTTTCTGGTCAGTATCCCAGCTGTTTTTATATACTCCTTAAGGTATTTGTTTGAATCAAAGAGGATACATATGTTCAATGCTTTCTTAGTTAGCTTTCCCCTAAGTAAATTGGCTAGAATCTCCGGCTTTATACTTATTTTACTAAATGCTTTTTTAATAACAGTTTACTTTCAATGACATCTTCATGCAGTGCTTATCAACCTCTTTAACACCTTGGCTTTACAAGTTTTATGACACTGCTTTTTTTAGTTTTATCTTTGCATGTATATGTGTCTGATATACCCTGCAGCCACTATGATTACTACGGAATAGTGAGATTTTTTGCATTTAACACTGGCAAAATAACTGCTATCTGTGACATCCTGTTTCCCCCCAGGCATCCAGTTCCCCTACAGATCCAAATTAAGACTGCTTTTTTTTTTCTTTTTTTCAAAGAAATTATTGATTATCTTTTTGAAGAGAAACTTCCAGAACTTGAAGAAAAGTTAAAAAAAAGGAAAGGGAAGCACCTTAGTTCTGACAATTCAACAGCCAGGCAACAGAAAAAAGCTTTCAGACTCAGTGACATTTTTGACTCTAGTGAAGAGAGTGATTGACTGCCTTGAAGACAATTCCTAGTCTGCGTATTTAATTACAAAATGGATCTGGTTGAAAGTGGGTGCAGATCAAGAACCGCAGGTTCACAGGCCATCTGACAATGGAGAAAGTAAAGATACGCTGGTCTGATTTTCTTGTTTCATATTGAAGATTGAGGTAAATACAGTTTTTGTGCCACCTTTTATTACTTAATTTAGCTTTGGTTTTAGAAGTCTTCTAAGCATGCAAGTTGCTTTCTGAATGTCTCAAAGATAGTATTTTTCCACTGCTTTGTTTTCTGTGGAGTTAAAAGCTGCTGTTTACCCTTTGTGCATGAACTTTGTTTTCAGAACTTCAGTAAATTTTAAATAATTAAAAAAAAATAATGGAATTGGGAAAAAGCTTTCAATTTGCTTTTAAATACCTCTAATAAACAAATCTTAAGACATCTGTGTTGATGGAAACAGCACAACTGAGTTTTTTTTAACAGATACTTTGTTCTTAGAAGCAACCAATTTTTATTTTTGCTGTAGACTTATACTTTTATCAGCCTGTCTAGAGAAAAGGGACTTTTGTCCATTACCATTTACGAATTGTAATGTCATTTCATGCTGACCAGAGCAATGCATTTAAAATGTTTTTGTTAGTATTTGGAATACAGAGACAAAATGGACAGTGTGTTTGTGTGTGTGTGTGTATACATATATATATACACATATATATATTTTTGTTGTGCCAAGGAGAATTTCTACATTTTAATAAGAAAATTGAGGGATAAGACAGAGGTTGTGCTCATGTTGTTGTACGATATTTGTAACTATCTGCCCAGACCGATTGTTTGTAAATTGACCGAGTGAATGTAAAAAAAAAAAAAAAATCTTACTGTGCGGGTAAAGTATTTGTATGGCTCATTTATATTTCCTATATACTGTATTAGAAAGTAAGGCGAGAAGAGTTGGGTTGCTGACACTGCTTTTTGATAGTAATTTTGATAAGTGAGAATTTCCTTCTTTAATTTTAATAATTTTCATTGGAAATGCAGAACTTTCAACAGATTGAAATAAAGGCCTTGTTGGAGATTCTTCTGGATTGTGACTTATAGCAAAGGATGTTGAATGAGAATTTTGTGTATTTAACCGTAGTCCAGCTTTAGTCTCTCTGAAGATGCAAAACAATGTGATTTTTGTGGGACAGGCAGGACACCCCATGAGATCAGCCAGGAGTATCAGGGTATGTTTTCCAGCCAAGAGGTGAAAGGGGGGAAGGCAGGGAAAAAAGATGTGCTAACCCCCTTCCACTTAAGTCTTTGATTTGCTTCTGTTGCCTTATGGGTTTGAAGGTTAAAAGCTGAAGAACTTGAATTTTTGAGTCTAAGCTGTTTGTGTGTTTCACATTTGTGGGTTTGGTTTTTTTTTTTTTTGAAGGTAGAGAGCCTCTGAATTTTTTGCAGGCTAGAGCACAAACAATTGGTGGGTGTAGAGCTTGTAGACGAGATCTCACAGAAATAAACTTCTACCTCCATAATGAGATTTATTTTATCCATTACTTTAAAGGGAAACTTCTAAAGGAGGACTTTTGATGATATATTATTTGGCACAGAAACTACTTTTAACAACTGAGTAAGCCAGGGCTGGAACTAGAACCCTGACCATTGCCGCACAGGAAAAAAGGAGATGCTGTCCATCTTCCCCGTGGCCTTGGGAAGGGAGCAGGGAAACAATTCCTTACCTGCATCTCCTTTGGTAATTTGGTGTTTGTAATCGCTTTTTTTGGAGAAGAAGAGTACTTGTTGATCATCACAATGGCACTTAAGGGGGCATAAGAAAGCAGCTTTTCCCTTTGCGCATGGGAGCATAGGCAGGTGAGGCAGTTGTTCACGTGGGTATATGAATATTACTGAAAACAGAGCAAACTGTGCAGAGGTTTAAAAAAACCAAACAGGCTCCACAGAATGATGAGGGAAATAACATTGACAAAGCTTTGTGTCTCAGGCTGCATTATAAATAAGAGCATGACAGATTCTTCAAGTCTGAAAAGCACTGCGAGTCCCCTAAAAACTTCGGTGAGTCAAGCAGGTATGTCGCTTCAAGCATTTTTCCTGGTGCGTTAATGGCCTGAATGGTGTTTAAAAAAAAATTTCTCGGCTGTGTGTCATTATCAAAGACGGAGACAGCCAGGTTACAAGAGTTGTGTTTGCAGCAGAGAAGCACTTCAAAGTTGAGGAGTGTTACGGTGGCAGCAGCTGAAGATCAAACGGTGACTTGCCTTTTTCACCACCCCCCCCAAGCTCTGAACAATCGACGTGGGGGGATTGAAGAAAGGCAAATACTCCCTGTTCGCTTCCTCAGTGGCCCCCAGCCCCTGTGACCTGGAGAGCAGAGGATGACACAAGCCTCGAGGGAGGCGGCTTCATTGCTGAGCTCCGCGTTGCAGGGCCCGGGCCTGGGCAGTGACAAACCTTCTCCTGCCTGTTTCGGGAGGTGCAGGCAGAGGCTGTATGCTGGCGTGGTTTCCATTGCCTCGGCGGCTGTGAGGAAGCTTTTCCCCCCCTCGGGGTTACTTCAGACTGCTGCGTCATGGGTTTGAGGTATTTTAGTACTTGCAGAATTCTTCCCTTGAGGCAGTGCCTTAGCTGTGCTCCCTGGGGCGCTGACGCCACTTAGGTTTATGCTACCGCGCAGCTCCCTTCCCCCACATCCCTGCGTGCCTCAGTTTCCCCGTCGCACTCACGCGCGACTCCGCCCTCACCACTGGCCCTTTAAGGCC